AATGACTTTGATGATCTGGCTCTTCCACTTAATATATTAGCTCCAGACACGATTCTAATTAATTGAAATAAAAATAAATGTTAGCCAATATATATAATTACAGTGTTAAAACATAATGAAAAAATTTAGTTACCCATGTAATTGGCTTTTAATTTCCTGGCTTGGTTTTCGATGAAGTGAACAAAACCACACCACGGTATATTCCTTAGGAATGATTACCATTAACTGCCAATGAGACCTACATTGTATGACAAACAAATCAGTTAAAAAATTACCATGATTAAAAAATCAATTAAAAAACTAACCCGTCAATGTATGGAGCCATGTATATATGTCTTCTTGAGTCACTCATCCATGTTTGCATATATTGTTGGATCTGGACCTGAGTGTTTCCTGATTTTTGGATGGATTGAGGCTCAATAAATCCATATACTTCTGCTTGTGCTTGCTCCACACTCAATTTGTCCATGTACCTAACACAAATAATTATTATAAGTTAAATGTAATTATTGTAAATTTAGACTCATAAAAGAAAATATGACTTACATGGCCCACAACTGTATGATAGATATATTTAACATGGAGTTTCCCCCAACAATCTCTAATGCATCAGGCAGAGATATGTATAGTGGAACATCAGAGCTATCAACTCCAAAAACTCTAATGTCCCACTGCAATTGAATTGGCTTCTTCTTTAATCGTGGTAATATGATTAGAAGCTTAGATATGGGATCACCCTCAGCTTCTGCGATATTAGCATCATCAACATGAGGTTCTCTCATGACCTCCTTACCACGATTGATAAAATCCTAAAGAAATAATCAAAATTAGTTAAACAATAATAGAATTATAAGAATATAAAAGAGCAATAATATAATTACCTTTGCCCGTGCTGAAAGCGGCATGACCAAACGTTTTGGCCAAGCTAAGAATGTGCCGGTTGCCTGCCCCACTAGTTGAACCTCTGTATTGGGCAAAGGCACTGGAGCAGCAGCATCTTGAACTTGGTCAACCACAACCCGTGTCCAGTCTGGCTGTAGAGGGACACCATGGATGGTTGAGCCACCCTCAAATACTCGGCCAATAGCCACTAACCGTGGGGGGTCATCCTCAACATATAACTCACACTGGTTTGGTACATCAGTGTGAGTCTGATCCGGTGAGGGATCTGGAGCAGCACAACTCCCTTTAGTGCTGACTCGAACACCATCATGAGCAACTGCAGTCTGTTGCTGAGAACGAGCCAAAAGTTCAAACTTCTGTTCAAACTCTTTTTGAATATTCTTCAATTTCTCTTCAAACTGCATCTCCAATCTCTGCTCCATTCTCTGCATAACCTCTTGACTGCAAGAGTCAACAGTGCTCCTCGATGATCGGGCACCAAAGAAATCTCGGTGGCTCCAAGAACCACCAACACCACGCACACGGCCTCCGTGCTCTGGCCTTCCTATGGCCGTTGTGAGGATATCATTCCGACCATCGGAAACAAATGAGCCCTGGGTGCTCTGCTCAACTAAACCCTCCTACAACATATTAACAATAAGTATACCCTAAACTACACTTATGAATTAAATGAGTTGAAATGAAGAGTCTTAGTTTGTATATTTTTACTTACTATTTTATCAGCAACGACCCTTGCAGACTCAGAAGTCATTTGCCCATCTGATTTTGTCCGGGCTGCTATCCACATCTCATGGCGGGGAGGTGACTCCACACGGTCAGCAGACTCAACCCCTGCTGCCTCTGCCCTAGCCTTCTTCATTTCTTTTTTTTTTCTTTCATATCCCCCTCTTGACAATAGATGGGGTGCATCATTCTTGGCCTGTCGTTCTTGGGCAGCTATTCTTTTAGCCTGCAATAATACAAAAAAGAAAATGAGATTAATTAAAATATACCTTAAGTATTTGTGTCAATGTAAGAGTTATCAATAACTAACCTGCCACGAAGGGTCCAATCGAGTGGCACGAAATTGCATCCACTCCTCATCAGTGATCTGGTACTTTAGACAGGGAGTCTCATTTTGTCGCTCTCCAAATACATACTCCCGTGTCAAGAAAGTCTTGAAGTCTCTCCACCTGGTGGCCAGGGCAGATAACATCTTCCTCCTCATGACCTCAGTGTTGGGAATGTCAAAATTTTGCTATGAAAATAACAACAATTAATAAATAATGTATTTAAGTTATATAATATTCAAGGGATGTGAAAGTATATACCTGAATATCCTGCCACATGAGGTTCTTGTCAACCTCCTGAACGTCATCCCATGATGGAATGATAATAGAAACATGTCGTCGAGCTAGGACTCCCAAATAGCTCTTAAACTTGGCAGCATTTGGGCCTGATGCCTTGCCAGAATGAGGATCCACCTCAACCGGTGTCCTCTCCTTGGCAATGCGTCCAGCTGTCAACCCAGACAATCGGGTGACAGATCTACCTTCCCTCCTTCCACTGCCAGACCCAGAATCCTCCATAATCCTGAAAAAATTAAACTTTCATTATAAAAACAATGAATTAACTGAATAGACAAATAAAGTAAAAAAGATAATAACAATATAACAACAAAATAACTAATAAAAAAACAAATAATACACAAACAGAAACCTATCTGGAACAGCCCATACTAAAATCAGAACGGGCCGTTCCAGATAAACAATTTATAATACAAAAAATTTAAGCAGAACGGCCTGTACTGCATGCAGAACGGGCCGTTCTGCAAGCAGAATGGCCCGTTCCAGATGAATAAATAGCAGAAAATAAAAAAAATTTGCGTAGACAAGAAACTAACCTCAAACGTGTAATGTGTAAACACTTAGAGAGTTACAAACGTCCAATGTAGAAACAAACGCACTGAGAGACTTAGAGATTCAGAGAAAAGGGATTATTAGTTTCGTAAACAGGGAGCGCGGGAATGAAAAGTGGAGTGGGCATTTGATTTTAGGGGCATATTTACGTCGGGTGAGGGTTGGTGCGACGTAAATTTACGTCGGACAAATGAGGGTCCGACGTAAATTATCCCATTTACATCGGAGCTCTCACTGTCCGACGTAAATTTACGTCAGACTACGGGGGTCCAACGTAAATTTACGTCGGACAGTGAGAGCTCCGACGTTAATGGGATAATTTACGTCGGACCCCCCTTTGTCCGACGTAAATTAGTTCCCATTATTTATCATTCTGCCACTGCATTTTTATAACGTCGGTGGTGCCTTGTTCCGACGTCATTTAGGTGACGTAAAAGCCTCTTTTTGCACTAGTGCTTAGTAAGATGAATGCACTAAGATTATCTGTTATCTTGACATAAGTGTCTAACAAACAAAATACCTCATCTACAAGGTATTTACTTTGAATTAATGTCATTTAACATGTTTGATAATTAAATCAATCTTTGTGTATAATATTTTTTAACAAATCGAAGCAAAACAACTTCCTCGATACCTATAATGACAAAAAAAATAAAGACATGTTTTTCATAAGAAAAAAGACCAAAAAATCTCGTAAATCACGAAAAACTTTACAAAATGCTATTTTGAACTGACACATGCATGACTCTACTTGTTTGATACCTAAAAGGTGATAGTAATTTCCTTAATTAGATAAGAAGTGACTAATTTGTGAAAGCATTTAAGGCATCAACAAGCACTTCTCTCCATAAGGAACAAAGATAAAGACAAACGAAGCAAACTCATGAGAGATGCTCGAGGATTTGCAACGATCATGTTCGTTGAAACCCTATTAAAGGAAGTTTGAAATTTAGAAAGACAGAGATCAATTATTGTAAAAAATTTATTTTTTTCTTTCTGTAAAAAATTTCTGTACTTAATTGGATGCATAACATTTTGATAGTAAGACAAAACAAACTAATTAACTTATTCAGCTTTAACTTTGTGTTATCGCATTGAACTTGGAGAGACTTGTCTGTAAAATAATACTTGTTTGTTGAGTTTGGAAAGACTTATCTATAAAAGAATTCTAGCTTGTTTGTTTGAGTATAGAGAGGTTTGTCTATAAACAAATATTTGGTTGTTAAAGCTTAGAGATACTTTGTGTTGAAAAAATATTCGAATAGTTGCTTAAAAAGACAAGTCAAAGAACACTTAAGTTTGAGCTATAAGTAACTTGATAAAAGAATACTTGTATCTTTATATAAGATAATGGAATTTGATCTAATTGGATCAATAACTAGACATAATTTCAGTAGTTGAAACAAATCGATATAAAAATACTTTTTGTTCAATTTCTTATCTCTTTGCATGTACTTCCTCACAAAGTTACTACTTTACTATTTCTGAAAAGTGAGTTTTTTTTTATAAAATTATCCAACTCCCCTTCTAGTGTCTCTTTTTTCTCCACACTAAAAATATACAATATTACAATATTAGTTCCTAAATTAAAAATAATAATTAAATTTTGAAAATATAATTTGTCAATCATAATAGTCTATAATTAAAATTATATTATTTAAATAATAATAATAATAACAATAATAATAATTATATATTTGAAAACGAAAATGTCTTTAAATAGTTATGTATACGGATTTAAATTCGAATCAAATAAAAATTCATAAATTTACTTGAAATTTTCTTAATTACAAGGACAAAAAAAATCGTGTTATTTTTAGGGACTAAGATAATTGTTTATTCCAATATATATATATATATATTTATTCTATAAGGATGATACAACTGATTAAATTTTTCGTTCTTACTAGTTGGGATTTGATATCAAATCCAATTTTTCTTGGATTTTATTTCTTTTCACGTGAACTTGTACTAAAGATGGAGTAAAAAAATTTATAATCTCATTGAAAATCTTCAAAAAGATCATTAATTAGTTTTGATCTTGCATAAAATCATATCTTATTCTAATCTAAACTTCTTGTAAAATAAATGATATATATCTTTATAGAGGTCCACATAAAATTGATATATGCTCCAATTTTTACCTATAATAAAAAATGTATTAAGCAGAAGATTTCAAGGAGTAATTCAATTAGGCAACTCAAGACAATAGTATTGCTTTTGCTATTATACATTTTTTCACAAACTAATTCTCATTTGTCCAAGTGGACAAAAGGCTAAGAATAAAGTAAAATTTACTTACACAAAAATATGCATTGTTAAAAAAAAATATAACCTAAAAAAACTTACAACTTACTTCTAAGCCCAAATATTTGACTAAATCTTGCATTAGGTATTCTCATGGAAAAATAAATACTATCCCTATTTGCTATAACACAAACAACGCATCTTAAAATCTTTGATTTGTACATTAGGATGACAATCATATTCCACATCACTTCTTTCGAGTAATCACTAGACAAAAGAAGGCCACAACTCGAGCAATTATACCATAAAAAATGAGGACAACCAAACAAAGAGGCCAATCACTAACATTATAGCCATTCTTCATTAGTGAACTACACCGAGTTATCAGCCATACTCCAGTATACCTGAGAAAAATAACATTAAAAATGTTATATGGAAAGAATAGAAGGCAATTGAAATAAACTTGGAAAAAATTTTAAAGTTTGTCTATATTTTATATTAGATGCAGTCTTTTTCTAAGTCTCGTGAGTAAAGGGAATATAAAATTACTAATTAAAATAGACCTTTCAGCATTTGCAATGATAAAGGCTTCCAAAGCCCAATTTGGATAACACAACTTTACAAGGATCTTCATAAAGAGAGTATCTTGTGTCTGGTTTGCAATGAGAGTCATAACAACTGGGAGAAGCACTGACCACTACAAGTGACAAGAAAAGAACGTCATACATACACTTATTATATATATATATAAATAATGTGTATATTTTTATAAGCATCATACCAGTTGTGCTGGAGCAGGCTCAAAATAAATTGCTATTGCATAAGCCATGCCACTCACACAGTACACAAGGCAGACCAAAACCGCATAATTACTTGCGAAACTTGACCTAGGATTGCTAAAAAAATAGAACATGGACAGATAAACTACAGGTTTGATGATTGTATTGAAAAGATCAATTGTATCTTTGGATAAAAAATGAGCCAAATTGCTAATTCCAGATGCACTCTCCCTCCAATATTGTAATTTATCCAGAGAAAATGATCTGAGAGCTGCAATCTTGCAAAGTAAAGCTGCAAATGTGCAATATAATGAGGGAAAACACAAATAAAAAACTTAATTTAATGAAAAATAATTCATTTTTTCTTCTTAATATGGACTAAGAAGTAAGAACCAATATGTTTAATAAAATTAAAACCATTCAATTTTTTTTCACAAGAATATAAAATTAGATGTTCAATTAACCCAAGTAAAAGAAATGTTCATTATTAAAAGAAGAAAAAAAAAGAAAATCAAATTTAATAGGGAGTTTGGAAACTTACAGACAGCAATAACAGTATATGTATATCCGAGGGACCCAAATGTTTCATCATTTACTTTTGTAAGAGTTCCTAATATAGCACCAGCAACTAATAAAAGGAGATAGTCAACGGCTTGTGATTTTCCTTCTCGTAGCGTCTGCTTACAAACCCTGAACAAATTGGCAATAATTAATAATTAACCAGCGTAATATGCAAAGTATATAATTCATTGCAATACAAAAATGGTAAACAACTCAATTTGTCCAAAATACACCATAAAATTTAATTTAACTTAAATATAATTTTAATTCTTCAAGATAAGTTTGCTTCATGTTCTCCTAAATTTAATATTAATCTTTTAGACTTTGTAATTAAAAAGAAAATGCTTTAGTCTTTTAAGATTATATGCAACATCACTAATAGGAGTGAATTAAGTTATTTGTACAACATCAACTAAGTTTAATGAGAGATAATTTTACTGATAATATTTAAACAAAAATAAAGTTTTTTTTTCAAATTACAAGAACTACAAAATTAATTTTAAATTTAAGTGATCAAAAAATAAATTTACATTATTTAAGAGACTAAAAATATATTTAATCATTTAATATTAAATATACAAATTAACTAAGATTTCAAGTTTCATGCTAAAAAAACTATATTATATTTCATGCATATGTATGTCAAGATATAGGTAATTATATTCTTCACTTGATTTCTTATTAGTAAACAGAGAAGAAAATTTGATTAAAAGAAACTAGAAATCCAACTTTTTTGGCTAGCTAGGACATCATATTTATATTGAATTCTAAGATTTCATAATTCATACCGCCCAACGTAATATCTATATTGTCGAGCTACACCCGGAGTTCTTCGATTAGATAAATCCTTAGTCTTTAAGAAGGTTGCCTCTATATGATCTCGGTGGATCTGAACATTACTCTTCATATCCTCCCAAAACTCTCCAGCAAAGGATTGATCAACAACTTCATCTGTGCCTTTTGTTGCATCATGTATATTTGAGGAAGAGGAGGAGGAGGAAGAGGCAGCAATTTGATCAGCAAAATGAAGCATATCTGGTGGTACTGGGTAACTATTATGTAACATCCACCTGACAGGAAGTTGTTGATGGGTCACACCTCCACTTGGTTTCACTAAACCTTCCAAAATGTCAATGAAATGGTCTGGAGGATTCACACGATCAGGTACAGTGATTCCAATGCTAGCAAAGTATTCTTCTACTTTTTTAACAGGACCATGATATGCAGTAAGGCCACCTTTGGCTAGAAAGACTATATCATCAAACATTCTGAACAACGTGTAGCTGTATCGCAACAAAATCAAAAAATAAGAACAAATTCTGAACTATATGTGCTGACATACTATTAGAAGAACAAATTTTAATTTCTAGAACACATTAATTCTTGAAGGTTGTTAGGTGTATGTGTAATTCACCAAAAATAAAATAGGAATGAGATCTTACCTTGGTTGGTGAAGTACCATGCAAATATTTACCCCTTCAAGTGCTTCCCGACGAAGTGCTTTAAGCAATAGTGTGGAAGATGCACTGTCTAGGCCAGTTGTAGGCTCATCTAAGATTAATAATGAAGGCTCCATAACCATCTCCATCCCTACATTTACACGTTTTCGTTGTCCTCCAGATATACCTCGCTTTTCTACTGTCCCAACAAGGGAATCCCTCACTGCTTGAAGTCCTAAGGACTCAATTACTCTTTCAACAATCAAAACCTTGTCTGGTTTTGGCATATCCGCAGATAGTCTTCAATAATATGAAACAACCATTTAAAATGAATTAACAAATAGAAGATAACAAATAATATACAAAATAAAGAGAAAAAATAATGCACTTATGTTGCATGAAACGTTTAGTGCATGAGTTCATTATAAAATCAAGAAGATAATAATCATGTAGCTAGTAAAGTAGAACAAATCCCTTTTATCCATCATTTTCTGTTTGCAAATATTTCATTTTTCAAATATCTTCTTCCTAAAAGTTAGCACCTACATTAAATATGAAAAAAAAGTATCAAAATGAAAGATGAAGGGGGGAATTAATTTTAAAGTTTTACTTGCTCGTTTTATTGGTGATAATTATTGCTATTTATTCCAAGTTTCTAAAAAGATAAATCCTAGCAGAGCAAGAAGATTAAGAAAACAAGATTAATGTTAACATGGGAGACATGAACTAATTACGCCAATTTAATGAATCATTTGCATATAAACCAAAGGGTAAGACAGGTATGACCTTTCATGATCAAGTATGAACTTACCCTTTCAAATTGTTATTAACGAAACCCTTGAAATTTGGTTTTGGTAAAAAATGTTACTTTGTCAAACACTTGAAACCAAATGTAAATGTAAATGAAGTTTACTCGTATAGGGACTATAATATAGAATTTTTAGGTATAAGAATAAAATGAAAAGTTGGCGCATGCACAAGGACCAAATAATCATTAAACCTTTAATTAACCTTTAAATTAAGCTTATTGAATTATAAGTAACATCAAACAAGATTCATACATTTCAAGCATTAAGAAAACAAGGCACAAGGTTCATACCTGCATCTTGCACTAAAACGAAGATTTTCCTCAACAGTCAAGTTCCCATGAACAATATCATCTTGTGGCACAAAACCAATAATTTTTTGATAACAATGAATGGATTCTGATTTTCCATTGATTAGAATTGAGCCTGTCATAGTGCATCCTCTTGCTTTCCCCGCCAAGGCAGAAAGAAATGTAGTTTTGCCAGCTCCAGAGGGACCCATCACAGCAGAAACTCGACCAGGCATAAGTTTACCAGTCACACATCTTAATAAATGTTTTCTTTTCCCTTTCAAAGTGAGAGTTAAATCTTTAAAAGCTACCTCAATCACAGGCCTTGTTCGAACGTCGCCTTCAGTAGCCATTGAAATAACTCCCGAGAAAGTCAAGTTCTTATTTTTCTCTTGTTGAGCCTTCTCTTTCTCAATTTGACCATAAGCATACCTCAAAATTTGGCTCTGTGTATGTAATTGTTTGCCTTTTGGCATCTGCTTTTTAATATTTTTATCTCCAATTTGTAGATTGAATCCTTCATTGCCATGTGGGTCATTCTCAAGGGAATCCAACATTTTAGTAAGGTTGGAAGGTCCCTTGTTTTGCTCTTTTGAAGTTGCAGATGATTCTTCATACATGCTTGAAGAATTTGTAGCCGTTGGTGGCAAAAATGTATCACCCATACCACGTTTAGTTTGGCCTACTGATTTTTTGCGAGAAAAGGTGCGAGATAATTGCTCATGCAATCCTACCTTACCTTTCTTAGCAACATCTTTTGCTACTTTCCATCTTTCTCGAGCTTGTACAGTTTCTCTTACTTGTCTAGCAGCAGCTTCCCTAGATTTAGCCTTCCTCCTTTCCCGAGTAACTAAAACTTGATCAGAACAATTATAAATGAAGATCAGGAGAGTACTCAAGGCAACCTACAAGAGGAAATAATAACAAATATGATAAATTGGACATAAGGAAAATAAATGTTTGCAAAATATTTGATAATATTTCTTGTTTTTTTTTTGGACAGTAAAGGAATTATGTTATAATTGATCCAGAGGTATCAACCCATATACAACAATGTATAATTCAACCTATGAACAATAATACTAAGATCATAAATAACAATTTTCAAGAGTTTGTATAATCTAAACCTATTCTTTGGAGTACTACACAATTCGTAAGTCGCCAATTCATAAATTTGATAATATTTCATGTGTAAAATAAGAGCAAGTAAACTTTGGAACATTTTTATGTTGATTTCATGTTACATTTTTTCACGCTATAAAGGGATAATACAAGAAGTTAGTCTATGACAAGAGAACCATAACTTCAATTATGTGTATGAAAAATGTAAAACAAACCACACAAAAGTTATGCATTTGAGTCTTCAACAATAATAATTTAAAAGCTAATATGTAACAAAAGCCTCAATAGAACATTAAAAAAAAAAAAAGTTGAATAACAATAAAGCAAAGTGAAATAGAGAAGTAATGCATGACCTTATCTGATTCAATATCAGATTCTACTTACAATAAGCAAGGCTCCATATGCATGCATATTTTGGCTTGATGTGTTTGGATTACAAGTACTCAACCTGGAGCATTCTGCAAAATTGAACAATATAAGCTAAGTGTTGGAGAACTAAATTTCCACTTAAAAAAAAATTAAAGACAAGTTAAAGTGTATATAAACATATTGATGTTATCTCTAATTGGTTTGAAGTTTTTGGATGATACATCTCCTGTGCATGATACACACCTAACTCAATCCACAGTACTCTTCTATTGGTCTGCACCAAACATTCTAACACTAAGGTTCAATCCAATTATTAGAGTTGAATCTTATGGAAAAGATTAAAATATGATATCTTAGTTGTTTAGTTTTTAAATTTGAATTTACATCAGTTGTGCAACTAGGATCAAGGTATATATTTTTCTCTGCTTAAAATTTATTATGTAAAAATATAATTCTTTCAAACAAAGGTGAGGAATGTATCTAAACTCAAGTTAATTATATGATATATAAATTAAGTTTAGGTTTACATTCATTGCTATGAACTTAAAAGGTTATTAATTTTTGCATTTTCTTAGAACATTTCATTTGTTCTTTTATTCTTGACCAATGAGTGAGAAGTGGGGACGGGGAAGGGATTTTTCATACTTCCCAAGAATGACAAAGGAGAGCGTTCAAAGTTGCTGGTTAAAAATAGTAATTCAAGTAATAACTTTCTTAAGTATAATGTTAACAAGGCATAAATACATCAAACACAAATTGAAGATATAACACAACAACAGACGAGCCTTTTCCCACTAGGTGAGATTGGTTGCTACATGGAAAAACATTTATATAAAGAAACTATTGACCTTTAATTCCTTCTTAATTATTTTGCTTAGCTTTTCACAATTTTTTTTTGACTCGTAGCAATTAGTCTAGCCTCCATGTAAGATCTATTCTTTTTACCAAGAATTCGTTAGGTCTTCTCCATATATCCTTAAAACACTTAAGCCGACTTTATACCATTTTTTCTATAATGTTTCCCCAATGTTTTCTCTAATGCATTTAGTCCTAGACCTATATTATTTGGTTTATCCACTAATGTTACACAACACAACATTATCATTTCTGCTACATTGAGTTTATTCTTTTGTTGGCTTTTTACCATCCAATATTCAATTCCAAAAACATCGCGTCATAATCCAAAGCAATCATCCAATTCACCACCCCATTTAAATCCTATGATTTTCCTTTCCCTCTTTTATATATATATATATATAACGAACTCATAATTCTTAAATTGTGTGACTCGTACTATAATATAGTCTCCTATTTAACGATTGGTGATGAAATAAGTTAACCAAATAAATTATATTTATGATATAGACTAAAAAAACTTACGATTTTGGTGAGTAGAACCCATCCTGCAATAATATCTGAAATTAGGAGGAAAAAAAACCAATGAGTTTGAATGCTCAATAGTCAATACAAGGTTAGTTGTAAAGAACATGAAAAGTCGTATCATGTAATAATGGAGTTTTAGAGGACATTAAATTGCAAAAATGGAGATTTAGATAATTTAAACTTGAGCAAAATAAGGTATGGGATAAATCAATACCCACTATCACAAGAAACTTTACGTGTTGTAGTCGGGCAGTATGATCCTGGAGAACAAAAGATATCACTATTGTTCACCACACCAGACCAAATATCAGCACTACCACAAGTATGATTTGTTTCTCCTTGAGGTATCTGGTAACTATATCTGTAAATTCATTTTTAGTGATGAAACTTAGAAAACAATGGAGAAAAATTAACATCAAGAGTAGAACTTACGGGTCACACATTCCAGTCTCATTGTTTAGTTTTGCAAGTGGACAATAAGAACCTAGTGGGCAAGCTTCATGGAGAGGAAAATTAGAAAAGTTAAAAATAAGATAGTTGAGCAGTTGATTTTATTCATAAAAGATAATTCTAAATCTTAAACAAAATTAAAGTTGTTTTATGAATGATATGGATTATGGAAGTTAGCACCATGACTACCAAAACCAAATTTGAAGAAAAGAATATGTATGTCTATGTAATATGTACTATATACACTAATATTATTCATCTACTTGGAAAACAAAAAATATTTAGGAGACGTTTAGATAAATTTCTTTAGAAGTATTTCTTGAAGAGAAGATAAAAAAAAAATCAAAATAAATTTCTTCATAAACTAAAACTAGTTTATGTTTGAATTTTAAAAATATTTTTATAAAATAACTTATACATAGACTAATTTTATTTTATAGAAAACTTATTTTATTTTTATTTTTATTTTACTCTCCTAAAAATATTTTTTGAGAAGTTTATCCAAATAAACTCATACACATTAAATCATTTAGGTTCTTATTTTTAATTTTTTTTGCATACCAATATACATCAACATGGATGCTAATATAATTAATAAGGTTTCATACTGTAATCACAAAGACATACAATAAACCTAATCTAATGCAATAAGGCTAAATCACGACCCTCGTGATAAAAGTTTTCCCCAAAAGTTTATTCTGACATAATACTAATATTTAGTATGTTTTGAAGAAACTCTAACTTGCATACATTTTTATCCTAATATTAGTAATCTAGGATAAATTTTCTTTTTGACTGACATGGCATATATGGAATCAATCCATTTTTGTATGCTTTTGCATCGACAAGTTAGATTCCTCATCCCCATGGTTTATGAAATTGCTTTTGATTCGGGTGTTTGTTGCATCTCACCCAACACTTGTGTGCCTGTATTTACATCTTCCTTTGCATATAAAAAAGTTACATCATTTACTTCAACCAAGCAATTTAAGCAAACTTGGAACCATCTTCATAGTTTAATGCTACTATAATTTAAACAAGTTCACAACCATTTTCATAATTTATGCTAGTCAAATTTCATGATCTCGAGAATTGCTACAAATGTTATTCGTAATTCATTTTCCTTTTATCTCAATTGTTGCCCTTTTCATTGGTACAATTATAAATAATCCCACATTTCTATGCATCAATGTTATATTATAAACGAATGATTTATTAGGTCTACGTGTATCATCATTAATCAATTTCCTTGTATATTATGCTTGAGTTAGAGGGAAAATGACAGCCAGTATAACTAAGACAAATAATGGCAGAGATCCATATATGGAAAATGTATTTGAAGGATGTTTCAAAAACAAAAGATGTTAAATAATTGGCACAATTTCATCCTAAGTTACTAATTAATGGCAAAATTTTAAGAGGTATCACATACTTACGTATCATGCAAGTCAATCCTTGAGGGCAGAAAAACCCTTCACAACAAGGCTGACAATTGTCGGTTCTAAAAGGAATGTCCTTTATGTCCTTTTTTAGGTCAACATTTTTGCCAGCACTACAACTCCATCCAGGTTCACAACCAGAAACCCACGAGGTCAAATTGCAATTCTTGTTAGGTTTTACGTAATTAGCAGATGATCCCCCTTGTTCCAAGAAACCGTGGAAGTAGTACCTTACTTCAGCCACAGTACATATTCTATCTCTAAAATCTCCTGTCAATCAAATCTCATTATATTTAGGCACTGTATAAAATAAATGACTATAAAAAAAAAAAATTAATATATGTCATATGGTGATCCTTAGCCTATGAATTCAGATGGCTCATATATGTCTTTGGCATTGGACAATGAATGATAATCATTATCAAGAAGTTTTACTGGAAATGGCTAGTCAAGGACACAATTTCACGGAACACATTTATGATTTTAAATATAAGGAGACAATATATGCTAAACAAAACCGATATGCTAATCTCTAGACTCAATAGGTTCAATTTTGTTTACGTGAGTTTCAACTAAAAAATTTTGCATCTTTTTTGGATTGTAAACCTAATGACAAACTTATTTTTACATCATTGTCATTCTCCAAAGACTAAAAACAACCTACTAGAAATCCTTCAATCTTGAGTAATCGTAATTTTCTTTTTTTGCACAAATGATAATGTTAGGAGAGTTGGTTATTGACAAAGTTTTTAGAACTTCAATGTCCAAGTGGTCATGATTTTAGTCTTTTTTGCCTCCATTAATTCTTCTAAATAAAACTTGATATTAGCCTAAGGTATGGTGGACTTAATCATTTTGCATGCTTCAAGCCCAATGTACTTTCACATGAAGAGGCGTGTTACTTATAAAATCATTTGTAAGGCTTTCCCTAATTAGCAATTGAGTTTTTGAAAAAATTTACTTTGATAGATATTACAATATTATTTGTCACCATGAGAGATCATACCTTTTTTCTTAACACAAGAATCCACAAAATCCAACTTTCCTTTAAAATCAAATGCTTCCTCCCAATCTTTATTCCTGAAATGTCAACAATATTATTGTCAATGTCAACAAGGAAACACATGCTTCAACATAATAGTTACGATATCACATGTCAAATACTCTTAATATGCACATTACTATTTTTTTTTTTTTACTTTTACTTTTTAAATTGATATAATAATAGGGTTAGGATATACAATGTTTACAATAATGCAATGTTAACTTTTAAAACATTAACATATAAGAGATGCTCATGTCATAATTTTTTTTCACAGGCCACATTTATCCTCCATATAAAACAATTATGGTTGAGTTATGAAGGAATATTATGAGTGATAAAACCTTCACTTTGAATATTTAACACAACCACATATCATATTCAGGATTTAAACTTAAAACTATTAATTAATATAAAACAATGTCATATCAATTAATTCCCACACTCAAAAGTATTCATGTTATGATTTGAATTCATGTATTACATACCTCTCTAAGATTTATGTTTTCATGTTTATTAATCTAACATTAATTTTACATGTTTGTAAGTACGCATGCTTGGAACATAGTCAATAACTAGGATAAATGTAAGTTAAGTATGCACGTATAAGAGAAGGCGTTGATAGAAAAAGAGCGACTCACACATCCTTGATGCAGAAACCTAAACCTGATTTAATGTCCTTGCTTAATAGGGAAGCAAGGTTTTCAAGCTCCTTATAGATTTCTTCGGAATAAAAGGAAGGAGCGAAAGTGTTATCGGCACATTGAATTGGTGACAAGAAAGGGATCAACAAGAAAAGAAGAGGGAGCCAGGAAGCATAGTTCCTCATTTGTGTAATTGGGAAGAGGGTGGATGAAGCACGCTATGGAGAAAAGCATGCCATGGATTAGTGGAAGAAAGAGGAAAGGTGACAATGAGTTTGAGGGAGTGAAAGGTTTCGTCATTGGTAATGTTTGAGGGAAATGTGAAAGGATGTGGTTTTGGAATAAAGAAATGGCCGAGAGAGATGGGTGGCTAGATTCAAGGATGTACATTCTTTCCAATACTTTCTCTCTTTGGTTTGGCTTCAACCTTTGAACTAAAGCACTTGCCTTGCGTTTAATTTAAACACAAGTGCTTCAAGGTAACTCCACAATATTTTCTTTTCATATTTATGTGTATGTCTTAATCAGGTGTTATTGTAAACATAAGTAATAAAAAAAAAATAGTCTCAAAAGCTTATGAAAACTAAAGTGAATAATTTCAACTTTGAATTTTATTTAATAATTTATAACAATATATATAAATGAGATGCACTTTTTTAATATGTATTTTTTGAAAGATATTTGTACTGTTATATTATATTTTAATTTTTTTTCTTCTATTAATGTATTTAAGAATAAAATAGAAAAATAAAAAAATTATTCGTCCCATCAATAATAACTACTCAATTTTTATGTAGTTACAAAGTACTTTTTTTCTATTAGTTTCATATGATATTATTTATTGATTTTGTTTTTAATTGAATAAATTACTTAGTTTAATCACCAATATATATAGTGTTAATTTGGTTGGATGAGAGGATATGTGAACATTCATCTCAGACTTGCCAGGTTAAGGTATAAAAGTGGGTCAGACTAAATTCCTTAGCGGCCTTTAGATTTATTGGCCAAGTCTAATCCAATGTTTGACCATTAGGACAAATTGACCTTAATTAAATAAATAAGAATATAGTTAAGTATATTTAATATGTAATTTTTATAAATATATAAATTCATAAAAAAATTAAAATAATAATAAAGATTAAATATATTTAATTAAAATATTTTTTAATTCCTATAATTTTACTTACTTAATTTTATAGTTTAAAATAAATATTTTTAATTCTTATATTTATTTTTATTAATATTTTTTAGTTTCTATAATTTTAGATATATCTTCTTAGTGCCTATATTTTTATTTTTTTTTAATCATTTTTAATTTCTATCATTAATTTGTTTAACATCATCTCTTTATTTTGATGTGGTAAAGATATTCAATTTTGTGAATATAAAGAAAGGTGTTCCAACAATGAACATTGTAGGTGGGAATAAAAAAGAGAAACGAAATGTTGAGGAACTTAATTTAAGATAATTCTAGTAAAATCAAACTGACATTACACACAAAGTTGAATTTACATCTTTAAAAAAAACAACAAGTGATGAAACTAGCTTGGAGATGGTGGATACTTCTCTTCAACTAGCCTCAATATGTGTCCAATCTTCTTCCATGGATCATAAAACTCAAAAGAAATATGCAAATGATGGAAGAGAAAATAGGAGGTATACGCCACTTCAAGTGAAAATAAGCAAAAATGAGAAAAACTTGTCACAAGGATAAATTTCTTGATAAAAGTTCGTAAGCAAATAATTTCTTTAAGAAAGATAACTAGACTTTTGAAAGAGAAAACTCAATTTTATTTTTCAAATAAGCTTCAAAAGTGATAAATTACAATGAGGAGAAAGAATATATAGAGTTTGGTTAACTTATGGTGCAAGATAAACTAACATTAGTTAAGTATAATCAAGGTTAGTTAACTTGTGCTCAAGATAACCAACTCTAGTTACATGATTAAAATGTCACTATCCTAAGACTAAAAGAACCAATGGAAGCTTGCTACATGACAAGATGCCAAAGGTGTGACTAGACAAAATCATGTAGAGTCATGAAAAAATCATAAGACATATTTTCCCCCTTTGACACCTAACCACTTAGCTTCCACCACAAGTTGGATGTCTACACTAAGAATATGCATCCAAGAAATACTCTCATGGGTCATTCGTGGACCATGAGTCCATGAGATGCTCTCATAGGCCAATTAGGCCCAACAAACTTAAATTTCCTTTTCTAGTTACACCTCTCCAAAAATACTAATTACAAAAAATTAATTTTCTACACTACTTGACACAAAAATACAAGGTTAAAATTATGAAAATATATATTTACAAATAAGAGGAATTAAACTACTAAAAGTGACTCAACTCAATAAGAGTTTGAACCTTCTTCCTTTAAGCCTAATTTACTCCTCTTGGCTTCTTTAGGACATGGTCTCTTAGCATGATGTTATCAGAAAGTATAGAGACTAAAAAGGTCTATCTTAAACCATATGGACTAAAAAGGAATGAAAAAGATAAATATGAGGACTAATTTTTTTTTTTTTGTAAATTATAGAGACTAAAAGGTAAAGTAAATGAAACTATAAGGACTAAAATAATATTTTAATCAATATATTTTTAGTCCATGAACTTTTGTCAACTTTTTTTTAGTCTCTGAATTTTTTTATTTAATTTTAGTCCCTAAAAGTTTTCTCCATAAAAAAATCACACCAAGGGCCAAAATGTTAACTAGAGAAAAAAAATTAAGAATTAAAAGTGAAAATCAACATAAAGGTTTATGAATTGTAAACATTTTTTTATACCATTTTTAAACATATTTAATAACATTATTATTAAACATGTTTAAGATATTTACTACATACAAGATTAATAATTTTACCTTATATAATGATCTATAACTAAATAATAATGTAAATTTTTATATTAACATTGCATTCTAATTAAAACTTAGTCATCTTGTAGAAACTACATAAAATCATCCCCAATTAACTCAAATTTAATTATGTTTGATATTTTTTAATAATTTAATTTATCTTTTTTTAAATAAAAAAAACACTGGTCAAAAAATGAGACATGAACATTAATAGTTGCATCTTATTTAAATAATTGAAATTATAAGATAAAAGTATATGACTTATACACAATAGTTTTTTTTGTAACAACTAATAGATTATTATTTTACAACTCAACAACTAAGCAGTAAAAAAAAATACAACTACCTAGAGTTATCATGCAATAGTACCTGAATATTCATGCAATACATATATGTATAAGGTGTAGAAAATATAAAATAGTTCGTGTCAATTTTGACATAAAAACATAAAGATCTTTATGGAATTACAATAAAATCATGTACATATATACAAAAATACATTTAGTATAAAGTACTGAAAACATAAAGGCTCTAGTGTTGGTCAAATGTCTAAACAAACCACTATTGTATTAGAACAACTTAACAAAATAAAGTCATCTCCAACATAGTTATCCACCAAGCATGTCCTTTACCTAATCTTATTCTACTTTCATAACAAGTATGATCATTAAAGTCCAACAACATGAATTAACAAATTCATGAACACAACACACAATAATCTAAACTCAACTCAACAATATAAATCAACATATCAATACAATTATTTCAACTTAACAACATGATTATACAACTTGTCATCATATCAACCTAGCATATGAACAATACAACATATCAACAACTCAACAATACAACAACTTATGTGTCCTTACACATTTCAATTAACAAATCTCTTACAACACAAGTGAGCAATATAAGTGACTTGATCCTACCAAACTAACTTAAAAACACAATCTTTTGGCTTGGTAAATCAACAACAAATTTGGATAGCAATCCACAATTAATACATGATTTCTTAGGTTTCATCACTTAAACTAGGAAAGTCTAGTATCTTTGTCAAGAATAGAACAACTTGAGTATGATCCTACCATGACATTAGTATGCATTAACTAAGTATAAATGGAATTAGTCCACCAACTACCCTCCATATACTACACACACTTACAAGAGTAAATTAAAGAATTTACACCTCGATTTCATACCTATTGGAAAAATAATTCAAATTTTCAATTTCAAATATTTAAGATATTGTTCAAATATAGAAAGATATTATTTATCTTTAGAATATTGTTTAGAATTAAAAATATAGTATTTATTTAGGGGTCTATTTCTTCTTCTAAGATTAGGATATTAGGTCAATAATAAAGACTTTTGAGATGAGCAGAATCACTTGACCTGTAGAAGGGGTCACTATCTTAAATAAGAGAAAGGGTCATAAGAAAGAAGGTTTACCAAGTTTTGCCATAAAACTTGTATTGAGGGTTTCCAAGTTACGTCCAAAAAATCTATGAGGGAGAGATTTCAAAGTTTCACTCATAAAACTTGTGAATAGGAGTTTTTGAGTTTCATCCACAAAACTTAAAGGGAAGATTTTCAAGAATATACACATAATGAATATCTTTATGGATGTAAACATGAAGGGCTGAATCACATTAAACAAATTTTGTGTGATCTTTCTTTACTTTCATAGGATTTTTATGTGTACTCTCATCATTGTTGTACATAAAAGAGAAAGAGTATTTTTTTTGTTCCCAATAATTGTATCAAAGCTCATGGTTTGTATAGCTTAGTAACTTGTCAATTAAGTATTGAAAATTAACAGACAAAAATTCCAATACTCATGGAATGAAGACAAAAAGTACTACAAAGTAAAAGTATGATTGAAAATAACAGACATGAGCATCCATATAACAACAAGAAGATCAAGCTTGAAAATTTGATATAAAACATGAGTTATTGAACGAAATAAGTCTAAATAGACTGCCTTCTTCAAGTGGCAAAAGATGGCGCCTCCTGTTGGGAAAAGAAGCCTTCAAATAGCGGAAGTGCACACACAAAAATAGAGAAACAAAAACAAACTCAGAAATTAACGTGGTTCGGCACCTCTTGCCTACATTCACAAACAACTCATTTTATTTCTCCACTTACAATTTTTACAAGGACAAAATTGCAAACTCCCTCATTCACAAATTTTCTGGAAAAACTTGGAAACCTTCATACACAAGTTTTCTGGCGAAACTTGGAAACCCTCTCATGACACACAACTACCCAAGTCCCCAATACACCCATTGGAACCAATGTTGTTGTGGTGAGTAGACTCAAAACTATCACCCCTTATTTATAGCAGTAGTCTACCACTTCCCTTCTTCAAACTACCCAATGTGGGACTTTGGAGGATACCCACACAATTTGGGCACAACACAAACTACCCGATGTGGGACTTTGGAGGACACCCACACACTTTGGGCACAACATATCCTCCCTTCATCCAAAGTCTCACATTAATCCATCATCATTCACAAGTTTTCTGGCGAAACATAGAAACCCCTTCCCACAAGTTTTCTGGCGAAACTTGAAAACTCCTTCTCACAAGTTTTTCTGGCGAAACTTGGAAACCCTCCTTCATATGACCTCCTCGGTACACTGCTTCTCTTCCTCCCTGGTACGCTGCTCCACCATCGAGCCGGTCACCCGATGAAACCATCGGCTCTGATACCACTTGTTGGGAAAAGAAGCCTTCAAACAGCGGAAGCGCACACACAAAAATAGAGAAACAAAAACAAACTTAGAAATTAATGTGGTTCGGCACCTCTTGCCTACATCCACAAACAACTCATTTTATTTCTCCGCTTACAATTTTTACAAGGACAAAATTGCAAACCCCCTCATTCACAAGTTTTCTGGAAAAACTTGGAAACCTTCATACACAAGTTTTCTGGCGAAACTTGGAAACCCTCTCATGACACACAACTACCCAAGTCCCCAATACACCCATTGGAACCAATGTTGTTGTGGTGAGTAGACTCAAAACTATCACCCCTTATTTATAGTAGTAGTCTACCACTTCCCTTCTTCAAACTACCCAATGTGGGACTTTGGACTGTGCCAACACTTTCTTCATAGTGAACAACCATGTTGATCTCTTCAACGGTGTCTTTGGTTGTGCTTGTTTCTTTTTCCTTAGCATGAATGCTAGGGATATCATCACGTGCCTCTAGTTCAATCTCCTTCAATTTCTTCAACAATTCATCGATAGAGATACTGCAATTAGTGGGAGTAGTAATGTTTTGAGTAGAAGATGTGATTTGTTTCTCTTCATCCGTGTCATCATGGTCAGATTCTTCATTAGATGAATTACATTCGTCCTCATCACTTGCAGACTCAAGAATTAACTCTTGAGTCAAAAGAGATTCATAACATGGCTTGGATGATTGAGAAGTTTCATCAAGATTCTCAGATTTTGATTGTGGCAATGCGAGAGTCTTCTCACATCGAGTCCAGAGAAACCACGATGGAGTTCTTTGTTTATTCTTCAACCCAACCTTTCAATTAATTTAAAATATCTCTATGTAAGATAATGAAAAGATATATATTATATGAGAAATTCATATGCAAATATAGGAGACATATAAGCATTTGTCAAGATCAATGGATCAATACATTGTTCCTCATATTATTATGTGTAAAATAAATGCAAGAGAAAACACTTTAGTGAATACAATTATTGTCAAATGTAAACAAGGGAACTTGAAACTACCTTGGTGTCACGGGTTACCAAACGAGACCCAAATGCATTGATAGAGCGACGCACATCCTTTAGGAAAATTTTACGCTTAGTTCGACCCTGTAACTCATGCAATCAATATTATGCATTGCCCTAATGAAAGTTAACTTGAGCAAAGATCAAACCATTTTTTAACGGATAATGTTATAAAAAAAATTATTTAGCAATTAACATAAATTCATATTTGCCAAAGTCACGATAGGTTGGGAGAACTAGTTTAAGCACCTCGGAAATGAAATCATGAATAGAAGAAGCTGAGAGTGTAAGCACTATGTCACAACCATTTATAATGGAAGTGATAAAAGGGCTTTCCAAATTCAGCTAACTCCGATGTCATGCAGACAGTTGTAAAGATTACAATTAACAAAGACTTAACAATAATGATTATTACAAGACAGACAAATTTCAGGAAAGGATCATTTCATACATATGATATGTCCGCTTGAAATCTTGTTCCTATCTCTTTTTTAAATTTTAATAAATACTATTAAGTAAGCTTCACTTATTTTGCATTACTAGATGAAAAATTTATATTAACTCTCATTGTTATTATTACTAGAAAATTTGAGGCATTTTGTATCTCTAATAATTACATAAACAAATATTAAAAATTACGGATAATTATTTAAAAAAGATATAAGAAGATTTTTTTTGTTTTATTCTAAGGGGTATAATAGTCTACTAAAGAATAAAAATCAAAGAAATAATAATTACTAAAATATATCCTTTTTATAATAGGTATAAATAATGTATTTTTTTAACTATATTATTAGTATGAAATATTTGGTTGTATTATTTCATTATTTCAGTATTTAAAACATTTAATACATAAATATTAGTGTGAATTATTTCAGAAGTTTATTATTCCTTTAAAAAGTTAGAAAAAAAATTGTTTATATTTATCCTGAATTAAAAATATAAAATCGAAATATTTAGAGTGACTAAATAACATAAAACAGTGTGATCCATAAAAAAAACATTTTGATAAAAATGCTGGTGATGATTTATTGTATTTTCAAAAGAATTTTTCAAAATTAAAATTTGTTAGATTTCAATTTTAAAAATAAACTATGTTGAACTGTACCAAAAAAAACCAACTATGTTACATTATAGTGATCGAGTAAATTATCATCGAGTAAATATTGAAATTGTTTAATTTATTTTATCAATTTTGTATTTAAAAATAAAACAACTTTGATGAATTAAAATAAAATCTGAATATAAAATTTTCAGACACGATCCAGTAAAAGGAAAATAATAATAAGAAATTGGAAATCGGAAAAAAGTGACTAGAGCCGACAAAGTCCCCAAAGTCAAAAAGATATAATTCCTAGCAACCACATAAAACCGGATTTATATCCTCTCCAGCCGAATTTTCCTCCAGCCAATGTCCTGCAAAATCTGAGCCATTAATTCATCATTTAACAACAATCAAGGTTGGGAGAGAAGATAATCTACGGTCTTGCTTTGTGCCGGAGAGAAAAATTTGCGTAGAGGATCCCAGTGCCTTAACTTTACCCAACACTGCATCGAGTAATCAAATTAATCACCGCATTGTTTGGTGGAAACTGGAAACACAACTATCCCAAATTAATTAACTCAAACTCACTCCCTTCTTTTTCACATCTTTTTGTAACATGGGATTGTTATTCAGAATTAAGTTTTATTGCTTTTGACTAATTTTTAGATGTAACTTTTGTTGGACCTTAATTTATCTTAATAATAAATAATAAAAAACACCACTCTCTCTTTGACAATGAAATTCCAAAGAAGTGAACAAATTCATTATCTCTTCACAATTCTTACTGGACCCAGTCAACGGTCAACAGTCGGTAATGCCTAGGAAGGTACCCTTTGATACAAAGCACTCATGTTCCATTCCTCGTACTTTCTGTTTTTTTTTTTTATGTTTTTTTTTTTATGTGCAACTCTGTCTCCTCTTGCTTTCTATTTTGAGTCAATTAAGGTAAAAAAAGGAAAAAAGAAAAGTAAACAACCACCACGTAGTATATACAATGTGCAAAATCTGTGTCTTATTCTACGATTTAACTTTTATCGAAACTCGTTCTTAACTTTACACTGCAGTTTAACAAACTCTATTGTATACGTGTGAATTCATCAAAAAGATAAAAGAGACAAGGCTGCGTGTGCCACCTCGAGTCATTGACTTGACTAGCCCAATTATGCTTCTTGCCCGCACAAGAACACAACAACAGCAACAACTTAAGCTGGCTGTGTTTGTTTCTTTTCTTTTCTTTTCTTCAACTCTATTACTTGGTCTCTCTCTGAAACCCGCAAGACACGTTCACACCACACCCAGTTTCGATCTTAAATATATCAAGTTACATCAATTAAGGTTGTTTGCTTCATTTGGCTTCCTATTTGGTTGGTGAGCTGACCCTGCAAGCCGTGCAGAGACTTCAATCGGAGTCTTTCTCTTCGTGCAATGGCTTAAGTGGGTCATCTCTTCTCAGAATCTGGATGCCAAAAACAAAGGTAAAAAAGGGAATTTCTCATTTTGTTGGGCTCACAGAAGCTGAAGCTTTTTGGGATCAAACTATATCTGTTTGAACTTAGGTGAGTTTCAGTCTCAAAATATGTTTTTTTTAGTTTTTCTTTGTAGATAAACAAGGCCTGCAATTGATCCCAAATGAAATGACTTAAAGGGTATATAAAGGTTTCAATTTTCCTTGCATCCCCTATTTTGAATTTGAAGATACATGTCGTTCTTAATTTTATTTGCCAAAACATATAGCTTGTGTTGCCAATTCTATGTCAATTTTTTAGTTTGAAATTGACTTACTTGATTACCCCCAAAACTAATTGACTTGCTAGAATAGGCTTGGTTCCCTGAATCACGTTGGATAACATTAGTTAACAAAATTTCTGATAGGGTTATCTGAATTGTAGTTGTTGGGTAGGGAATGGAGGGGTGATGCTCCAAATGGGTTTCTCCTTTCTGAATTGGTGAAGAATTAGGAAAGTGAGTCCGTTTGAAAACTCGTTAAGAATTAAAAAAATCATGTCATGAATGTGGAGGCTATAGCTATAAGTTTTTTAGTAAAGGTGACAAACCATATCTGGGATGTGAAACCAAACACGCTACTCATCATATATGACCATCAATTTAGATGTCATGTTACTTTTGAACAACTCTATGTTTCTTAATTTGTTCCTCAATTTTGTGAAAATGCAGTGTAGTTGCGGTCAGGTTCCAATGAAGTGTTTTGCATTTTACTTTGGGGAGAGGAAGGCTGGTCCCAAGGGCTTGCAGTCATTGTCGGGTCGGTCCAACAGTTCTACATATGTTGAGGCTGAGATGAGAAGATCTGGTTCTGAATTGAACTCTATGGATGCCTCGGACAACAGCACAGATTCCCAAAGGAGAAGTGCATTTCCCAGTTTGTCCCAAAGACCCAGCAACCTCAGAGTATTTACAGTATCTGAGCTAAAAACTGCCACAAAGAATTTTAGTCGCTCTGTCATGCTTGGAGAGGGTGGTTTTGGGTGTGTATACAAGGGGTTGCTCAAGAGTGTAGATGATCCTTCCACAAAAATTGAAGTTGCGGTTAAACAGCTTGGTAGAAGAGGAATTCAGGCAAGGTTTTGCCTTTTATGTTTTCCTCTTAAGAAGCATTTTGAATAACTGATTCATTGCTAAGATGACTAAGAGTCTGTTTATGTACAAGTTTAAAAGCATTTTTGAAAGTTTTTCTACTGAAAAATACTCTTTCATTTCAATAAAAAGAATTCTCAAAAGTACTTCTAACTTATATCCAAACATGGTCTAAGAATCATTAGTTTTTTTTTCTAATAGTGGCTATACAGATTTAGTTGCTTCTGCAGTGTCAGGAGGAATCTTAGTAAAATATAACAAGGCCTATAGTTATTTGGTTCCATTGTGTACTTTATGTTTTTAAATAGAGTTAATCAGCTATAGACTGAGTGTAAAGTTTTTTTTACACTAACAACCAATTATATCTTTTAATTGTAGCATGTCACTATAAACACATTTACTTTTAACAGTGACATGACACAATTAAAAGATGAGTTAATCACCTATACACTGCCAGTGCAAAGTTTTTTTACACTAGCAACCAATTAGATCTTTTAATTGTGTCATGTTACTGTTAAAAGTAAATGTGTTTATAGTGACATGGCACAATTAAAAGATCTAATTGGTTGCCGGTGTAAAAAAATTTTACACTAGCAGTGTATAGGTGATTAACTCTTAAAAGATATAATTGGTTGCCAGTGTAAAAAAACTTTACACTAACAGTGTATAAGTGATTAACTCTTTTAAATATCATAATGCAGACTTTATGTGTTGAATATCATAATGCAAGTTATAATTATTAACTAATAAGCATGATGCTGTAAAGCTTGATAATTGAATTGTCGCATAGGTTGCTTCATGTAAAGACAATTAGAAGTTATAATACAAACTTTAAATTTTTATATTATTTACAAATCTTACTGGAGGATCCTCTAAAGACTTTTGATGTGAAGGTTTTCTGATGGATTTTATGTACTTATTACTCTACATTACAATGTTGTTACTTTTGGATTACAGGGGCATAAAGAATGGGTAACAGAAGTGAATGTTCTGGGTATTGTGGAGCATCCCAATCTGGTGAAACTAGTGGGATACTGTGCTGATGATGATGAAAGAGGAATCCAGCGGCTTCTGATTTATGAATATATGCCAAATAGAAGTGTGGAACACCATTTATCACCACGATCAGAAACTCCTCTCCCATGGATTAGAAGATTGAAAATAGCTCAAGATGCGGCTCGTGGCTTAACATACCTGCATGAGGGAATGGATTTTCAGGTACAAGCTTATGACATAACTTTCTTATTCCACTAGATAATGAACCTATTTGAATACAAACTAGAAGTACTTTCAAAGGTTTTTCTATTATAAAAAGAACTCTATTTTCGATAGAGAAATTTTCAAAAGTTCTTTTAAGATTATATCCAAACAGGATCAATGCCTTGTATAGAAAGTAGAAACTTGTTTTGATCCCATTTAGACACCCCAAAAGAAAAAAAAAAAAAAAGAAAAAAAGAAAGGAGGCTAGGGGGAGCTAAATTGGACTTCTTTTAAAACTATTTCATTTCTTGTTGATTAAATATGGTGTGCATCTTGTTATTGCTGTGCTAACTAGTATATATTGGATGTTATAGATAATTTTCAGAGATTTCAAAGCTTCAAATATCCTTTTGGACGAGCAGTGGAATGCAAAACTGTCAGACTTTGGGCTAGCAAGATTGGGACCATCTGATGGGTTAACTCATGTCTCAACGGCGGTATGACCATGTTTATTGATCATAGATTTCACATATCAATCCACTGTTAACATATGCAGAGATGCATTAAGCGAGAGGAATGTTGCATATAAGAATAGTGACCTAAAACTATAGGCATCACTAAAGCTTGTTAAAGATTATATGGAGCTGAGAGTAAAAATGGTCACGTCAAATATGTCTTCAAATGAATCACGATTTAGCACCGGAAATCACAAGGCCTCTCTTGGTGCCTTATGACAAAAATCTTTCTGTCAAGAATGAATTCATTGATTGTGCCATTGAATAATTCTATATCTTGGCAACATCATTCCAAGTTTCCAACTAATCCTCCTACTTACTAAATGATGAAAATATCAAATGTTTATATTTTTAAGATAAGCATACATAATACATCATACTAATGTTCTGATGGATGGTTTCATCAGGTTGTAGGTACAATGGGTTATGCAGCTCCTGAATATGTTCAAACTGGACGTCTCACATCAAAGAGTGATGTATGGAGCTATGGTGTCTTCCTCTATGAACTCATTACTGGAAGGCGCCCTATCGATCGAAATCGCCCCAAGGGTGAGCAGAAGCTGTTGGAATGGGTAAGGCCATACCTTTCAGATGGGAGGAAATTTCAAATAATATTGGATCCAAGACTTGAGAGAAAACACCTCTTCAAGTCAGCACAAAAACTTGCTATAATAGCCAACAGATGTTTGGTCAGAAACCCAAAGAATCGCCCAAAGATGAGTGAAGTGTTGGAAATGGTGACTCGGATTGTGGAGTCTTCAGCGAGTACTAATCCACAGCCACCCTTGAAGAGTGTAGTAGCCTCAGCAGAAGATTCTCAGGGCACTGAAATAAAGAACAAGAAAATTACCATGGATGAAAAAACAGATTGTAATTGGTTAAGGATGTGGAGGCCAAAGCTTTTGAGAGCATGTAGATTGTAGATTGTTGTAGCTATAAACTGATCAAAGCTATGAATTGGAGACGAAGTTTCTTTATGACAAGAATTATCTATTGTTACCATACTTGGACACCACAAAGAGAAGCTCATCTTAATGTTGTCACCGGAAAGGAATGTCAAACCTCTTCATCTCCCCTAACAATGTGTACAAACTTCTTGTGCTACTTACGGGTGCTTCTAGCTTATCAAGCTATTCAATGAAAATTTTAGAGATGTATTAAGGTAAGTAAGAGGAATGAATTGTGTATTTCAAGGTATTGGTTGAATTTTCTATGATATGCTTTCTATGTTGATGAGCCGGATGCATCTCGATGCTCTAGATCTTAGAGAAGCCACGATTCTGAGAAGTGGAAATTAATCACTCAAATGGATGTAAAATAGTTCTTTTGTAAATTATATATCTTTGCATGCATATTGCAATTTTTTGTTTTTGATTTTTGTTTGATAAAGAAGTATAATTCTTATACTTCTTTCCAACCGAGTCAAATCCTATAAAAGTAAAGTGACATCTTTAGTTGTGATTTCATCTCTAAAACAGAAATCAAATTTCAATCTTTGATTAAAGAATACAAATATCGAACCACTTGAATTATAGTTGTCTATAATTTTGTAGGTCTTGCATCAAATACATAGATTATAATGTATTCAATTGGTGTATTAAATTTTGTTGCTTTTCTATACATTATAGGGACTTGTATGGGACCAAGACCTTGTATGGGAATGGAACTAACAGTAGTGGGTTTTTCAGTTAGCTTGTGGGATCTCAACGTCTATTGAGAGATGCATGAATCTCACATCATATTGTTCATATATGTGGGATGACCTTCTATTTCAAGGACTTTTTTAATCTTTAGAACCGATGGATCTGTCACACTTTAATTTATACATGCTTCAGACTTATTACATTCGCATATAGGAAAGATTAAAAAGAGACAAGATATAAAGATAACTATAAGATATAAGACATGAAGAAGACATGTATCTTATATCATTCGCATAGAAGTAAATAGAAGAAATTCATTTAAAGAAAATTGCATAAACTATAATTCCATAACTATTTTTCACATCGTCGTTATGGTTAAATTACTAGGAGATCTTGGACCTCAATCAACATAAATCGCATTTCAGTATATAGATCCCAGAGTTTCGTCAAAGTCATCAGTCCTTTCTCAGAACACCGTATTTGAATTCTTAATTTTACTATAGACTAAAATGTATGGTTCATTTTGTGTATGATTGTATTTTAGAATATTTAAATGGTGTTCACTACAGGGATTAAGCTTCAAGCCCAGTCCAAAACAAAATAAAATTTAACAAATGATGAACATCCACAAAATAATGATAATCATACCGAAATGTATAAATGAATTTTAATTTATATAAAAAGTTTATTCATTTTACGTCCCTAATTTATTTTATTTCCTTTTCATTTAAATATTAATTAAAAAATTAATCTAAACGAATTCAATTTTATATAGAATCATATGAATAAAGTCCCATTACCTTAACCTCTTTTGGATCCTCAGCAATGGTGCAGTCCCAGCTTTTATGGCGAGGACTATGTTTCCACTTATATATTTTATATTTAATACTATTTTAAGAAAGTAAATTTTGACTTAACTAAATCTTACAATCAACTTGTAACCTAACAGGCCTCTACATTTTATAAGTCAGCAACTCTACATTTTATAAGTCAGCAAGTAACAACAAAAAAACATAAATCTAACTAATTAGAATTATCACACAAATAATTCATGGATATACATGTAATAATATTTGTACAGAAATATGTACTCAAAACATAAATACACACATATATACATATTTACAATAAACCAACTGAAAGATAAAATCATAATTGTTGGTCAAACAATAACTACAAAAGAAATGTTACGTCGGGGGTTGTTCAAAACAACACCATCATCATTTAGCATGACTCCCAAAAATGTACTCCTCCTTCACTCTAATTCTTCTCTACTCTCATACTAAATATGATCATCTCAGCTCAACTACAAAGAAACATACAAGAATAAACTTACAAAAATCAACATAATAAGCACAACATGTATTTGAACTAACTATACTACAAATTAAACAACTCAACTCTCAACCACCAATTAAGGTAACAACTTAACAACATAATAATAATTTCAACTTATCACATAACTACACAACTTATCCACATCTCAACATAACATATGAACAAGACAACACTATCAACACATCACATGGACAACTCAACAACTATATGTGTTGCCACAAATTCACTGAGAGATCTTTTATAACATAGGTGAGCAGTTTAAGTGGTTCGACCATACTAAACCAACTTAACAATGAAATATTTTTAGATTTATTAGATCAACAACAAATTTTGATAAAAATCCACAATACAACATGGTTTATTGAATTTTATTGCTTAAACTAGGAAAGTTCAGTATTCCTATCAAGGTAGAACAACTTGGTTGTGAATCTACCATGATCTTAACATGTATAACTAAGTCTTGCATGGGATTAGTTTGTCAACTACCTTTCAAATATTGTGTCCCTTCCATTATTTAGTTAGGGATTATGGTCTTCAACCTTGTACCTTATTCGATTTTGGTCGCTTTGTATACGTATGTCTCAACTTTACTCTCATATACATCTATATTGGTTGCTTTATACACCTATGACTCGATCTTGCTCCCATATAAATCTATATTGGTCGCTTTATACACGTATGACTCAACCTAACCTCCATATGACATCAACTAAGGTCTTAAAGAAAACTAAACATTCCACTTCAAAAGTCAACTTCTTAAGAAGAATTTTCAACAACTAGGTCTGTAGAGTACCACAACATCATATCCACCCAATGGGATATTCATATTTTTAAGATAACACATCTTCTCTATTCCTAAGTCATTCAACACAACTCAAAATCATGCCTTAAGTATTCTTAATACAATTACTATCCACACTATACCACATATAACTTCTACATAGTTCAATTTTCAGTCAATTTACAACTTTAAGAAACTTAAATATCAACATCTATCATCCTAAGTCAAGATATAATGAACTAGAATCATACAACAACATACCACATGTGAGCAATTCAACTTATCACTTACATGTTCAACACAGTCAATAAACAAAAATTTTTCATTTAACATCTTATGTCAAGCACCATTCTTCCTTCACACAATATCATTGAGGTAGAGAGCCTTTAGCTCGCTCATGCTCGATGCCAATCTACCATGTTCAATGTGAATGAGGCAAAGAACCCCTATGTTAATTACACCTAGTGTAGTAAAACTTATGCTCAACCCCATTTTAGGTAGAGAGTCTTTGCTTGACTCACATTCAACATCACTATATTGGGATCTAGTGTCATCTATGTAGAGAACTTCTATCTTGCTCATGCTTGACACCATTCAATTAGGACTCGACATCACCAATTCAAAGAGCTCCAAGGGCATCCACATCTAATGCCATTCAACTCACGTCTGGTGTGATCAAGTCAAAAAATTTTCCTCTAACTCACGCCTAGTACTACCAATCCCTCGCCTAGTGTCAGAGAGGTAGGGAGCCTCTAACCTACATCACACCCAACGCCTTGAAGTTGTGCCCAATGTGATGGTGATTTCTACACTTGGCAGAATCACAAATTTGGCTCCCTTCACCTAAAATATCATAAGATACCAACATGCATTGATAGAAACTACATCTACTCATCATAAGCAACTTAAAAAATGCAACATGCAACCAATAATTGACTAGAATCATCAAATTCACCTCAATATGCTTCAAGAGCACCAAAACTCACAACATATGAATTCTTTCTTAAGCATCAACACAACCACGATTTTAGTGATAATCAAGCAACACACAACACCACAATTCATCAAGAGTTTAAGTTTTAACTTCCCTTACCTTTGAAACCAAGAGAAAAGAGGGAGAACGAAGAAGATGGAGTCTCTCAACCAACTCCGCACGACAACTACGACTCACTGATTCTCAACTTTGAAGCTCCAAATCACCAACCAACAACAACTTCTACTCTCAAGGAAAAGATAGAAGAAATACATGAAGTCAAAAGAGAAAATGATTCTCCTCAAGTTTTAGAGTTCCTGTCTCTCTAACTTTCTCTAAGAAATGAACTTATGAAATTCACTTCTTAAAAAAGACCTTATATACCTTTTTCTCCTAACAGATCAACTTGACCTCTGTTCAAAATAATTTTTTAACAACTAAAACTTATTAGAATTCTTAAATCCTTAAAATTTTACAATAAATTAACTAAGCTCAACATAAAACACCAATTATTAATATAGTGTTAAACTTGTAAAATAAAAATTATTCAATATTTTATCCTAATCATATCTCTGTTTTCCTCAAATATCAACTGTCATTTATTCATCTGATTTTTCTCCTTCTGTTTTTGTTGAATGAATTGGGTCTCTTGATTTTGTCTTTAAAATATAGTCCACGTGATGTAATGACACTTAAAATATAAATGTACCAAACAAATTATGTGATAATGGGACTTCAACATATACAAGTTTTAGGATTCTTTTTTATGTCAATAATTAATTATACAGATAATTTTTCACACAATTTTCAATAATTAATTCAATCATCACCATCCATTTTTTTTTCTTTGCCTTTTTCTTCCCTCTCTAACTCTCGGTGACGAATATCTCAGACACTAAGGCAAAACGATTAGAGCTTTCTCGAAAGGTGATTTCAACAAGAGAGAAGCATTACTTGTTAAAAAGATTCTAGAATGAAAACCCGCAAAGGGCGTTCTAGGCAAAAAAAAAAATAATAAAAAAAATGCCTGTTCGAGCTGAAAATTGAGAGACAGCTTGAATGTTCCTCTTGAGATTTCATAGAAAGCTCTATCATCGCTTCTACCCATTCCTACATCTAAAAAAAGATACGTGTTGAGAAAACCTTCACGAGAGAACAAGCCAAAGGCCCTCCCTCTACACGAAATCTTCTGAAGCGCCACATCCAAGCAAGTGGAGGACTAGCTCTACAATTAGATGACCTAAGCCTCTCTAATGGGCAACCTCCTTCTTTTTCTTTGTGTACGAATCACGAACTTGGGGCATGCCCGGGCCCTCAAGCTACATTAAATGGGCACGTGTAAATTGACAATTCTATTTTAATGCCATACACTTTTCTACTTCATTTCTCTTTTCCCTTTTATCTACTCTAAGCCTCGTCAACAAACCTTAAATGAACAAGTACATTTGAAATAAGGACGTCATCACAAACAATGGCTTAATACGAAATAAAAAACACATAAAGATCAATCAAATTGGGCATGACTTGTGGATAAAAGTCCAAATGAAATCAGTCAAGGGGCATCCCCCTTTAATGAAGGAATGAAAAATGATCACAAATGCTGCAAAGACAAAGGCCCAACAGGAAACCCACTAAGGGGGCTGCGCAAAAGTTAGGGCAAGATCTGCTAGGCAACCCACAATTAAAAAGGGTAACCTAGGAAAAAGTAAGGATCAA